CAGTAATACAGCTTTGTATTCCTGGCACTATAGTATCCCTTTACTGTGAGTATTATTACAGTGGAGCTTTATAAAAAACGCACACACGACAACAATATGGAGCTCCTAGAGGGATGTTAAGGCAGGAAGGAGATATATTGCTATTCCTCCCTTTCCCTGTAACTTATCTGTTTAATAGTCATTGCCCCAATGTTGGAGCCTGGTTGTCACTAACCCTGACTGCCCCATTAACGTTTGGTAAGATCAGCATTTGTATCTCAGCTCAAAACTCTGAATTGTATGACAGGAATCTGTATCCAGAGGGCCATGTTGTGCTTTCTCTTCATTGGGTACCTTGTCTATGTGAAACACAAAATTAACTATTGCCCCTTGCACACTGCTGGTCATGATCTAGAGCTAAAAAGACCCACACAATTTGGGCAATAGCCTCTAAAGCCTGCCCTTAGCAATGTCTATGGATATGAGACTACAGCTCACAACCCCTGTATGTTAGTGGCAATGGCGCCAAATGCCCCTGCCTCCCACAACTGATAGTTCGTCTGTATTAATACGTCAGCCATATCAATCACTTCACCAGAGCAACAATGAATCATGGTTGAAGCACAGACCCTTCTGATCTTTTCTGCTAATAATGCAGGTTTGGAACTGACAGACATTGGGACTATAGACCTGGTCACATCTGTGCTCCCTGCCCCCTCCCCCCCCCCTCCTCCGACCATAAGCCCCTCTTGGTCACTAAGCGTCTATAACTCTGCTCCCTTGGTATGGTTGATTCATTTACAAGAAGACAGACTGCTGTTAGACGCCTGAAATGTATTCCAGAGCAGAAGCAAACACAGTAGGAGATATTCAATTCACATAAAATGGATTAGGTTTCCAAGCACTGTTACATCCCCAGAGTGAGATTTACCCCCTTCTTTTTACGTAATTCCTTGCTATTAGAAGACATTTCTCCATGTATAATAGATGTGTCTTTATGTATAAAAGGCATCCACATATTTGCTGCTGGTTTGTAAATTAAATGTTCTGGCCTGACGTCTGGTCCATTTAAGAAGAAAAAAAATAAATCAAGGATTAAAAATCAGGTTAAGTATAAAACAGAAATGCGAGCAACAATTGTGAGTAATGACAAACAGAAATCCCTAAACCCTGATAACATTTTCTACCATCACAGGGAAAAGTAAAAAATGCAAGGTTAAAAAATTACAAACAGTGAACAAAAAGCACAATGTCCTAAATGCTAACATTCCAGCCCATTCCATGTTGTTGGAGGATTTTTTGTGGCGAAAAAATGAAATTTAGTTTGGTTTGTTTCAATAAATACCCCCAAAACATTTTGCAACACCAATGGAAAGACAATGTTTGTTTCAATGGATATAGATGAACCCACAAGTTCTGAAATTAATTTTGAGTCTTTGGGTAATATTTAAGATCCAAGCGTGTGGTTTTCTAGTATACAGTGGGTTAATGCAAGGTAGCAGAATGAGAGACAGCAATCCTAACAGGGCGAAGAATGAAAGATAAAATTGGCGGATTACGGAATCTTAGATTGGCCAGGCTTAACGTAAAGCAGGAATCTTAAATTACAGAACTAAACTTGAAAATAGTAAAGGTAGAGATATGAAACATCTCTATGCCATATGGCATAGAGATGTTAAACAGCACTAATAATAAAAAGGTAGTAAAAAAGTAATTACAGAATAGTCCCAAATTCGATTGATAGCAGAATTCTTGGTACAGCAGGTATTGCAGTGTGTTACATAGTTACATAGCTGAAAAGAGACTTGCGTCCATCAAGTTCAGCCTTCCTCACATTTGTTTTTTGCTGTTGATCCAAAAGAAGGCAAAAAAACCCAGTTTGAAGCACAATTTTGCAACAAGCTAGGAAAAAAATTCCTTCTTGACCCCAGAATGGCAGTCAGATTTATCCTTGGATCAAGCAGTTATTACCCTACATTGAAAGAGTATATCCTTGAATATTCTGTTCTTGCAAGTATGCATCTAGTAGCCGTTTGAACATCTGTATGGACTCTGATAAAACCACTTCCTCAGGCAGAGAATTCCACATCCTGATTGTTCTTACAGTAAAAAAACCTCTCCTTTGCCTTAGACGAAATCTACTTTCTTCCAGTCTAAACTCATGTCCTCGTGTCCTATGTAAAGTCCGGTTTGTGAATAGATTTCCACACAATGGTTTGTATTGGCCCTGAATACACGCTTATGCAGATTCCGTGATTTGAAATGACAAGGATGGCAATATTGTGTAATATTGTATATAACAGAGGTGAGGAATAAGGTAATGGAAAATGCGCTCACAAACAAGGAGCTATATGTTAGCTCTCATGTATCCACATCTGACAATGCAATCCTTGTCACGGGATATGTAGTAGAGAAGGACTCAGAATCTTATCAGGAACACCGGTATGTATAGTGACACCTTCACAACATGCGCAACTCATATGATATATAAAAGTTGAGAGAAATCCAATCGTGTAATCCAATAAAACAACCAAAGGGTAAATTAAAAGAAGATAAAAAATACACTCAAAATAAAGAGCTTCCAATTCAGTTCAAAGCATGAAGTGGTATAATCCCTGCTCACAGTTATTTCCTTTGGTGAGTGTTCTTTTGTACTTATTCAATATACATTGTGACAAAAGTACTCCTTTCCCTTGGTACCTTGTCCTGGGATTGGGGTGTTACACACAGTCTTTTCAGGCTTTAGAGACACTTCACACGCTGGATGAGGTAAACTGACTTGCTCTTTTATTGAGGTTCCAAAATAAATGCACAGTAAGGTATAAAGGTAACAAAAATATATCAAACAAAAGCCTTGCTCTTCTGAGCACTAACTAAACAAAATAATCAGCTAACTGGGTTGGATGGCTTGTCCATTTCCCAACATAAACATAAACATAAACATAAACATAAACAGCCTTACTGCTTCAGGGTTTTCAGCTCTCTGTTTCCACTCACAGAAACCAAACACAATCTCCCTTCTTCCTTGGCAGGGGAGTACTTAATAGCACTGGTAATTGACAATCCTTTTCAGGTGAGTTAGATTAGGATTCAAACTCCAGAACTGGACTTCTCACCAAGCAACTTCCAAAATGTGGAGTGGAGCACTGGCCCACCCTACTCTCCAGGTGCTCCACCCCAGGGCCCAAATATACACATATTTAAAGTGCAACATTCATTAGAACATAACACATTTCCCTGGGGCTAATTACACAAAGTAAGAACCTTGCAAAATCTGGGGAGGTATATAGGTTCCTTCCAGCACAATTCCTTGCTTTCTGTCACAACATATATTAAAAATAGAAATACAAAAAATAGTGCTCTCACCTGCATGCCTGTCGTACCAGCACTGGTGTACATACCGCGGTCACAGGGGTCGCAGCTGCAACCGGGCCCGTCAATCCAGGGGGCCTGGCCGTCCTGCGGACCCCTGCGACCACTTACCCGCCAATATCTTTTGCGGCCCCGGCCCGTGCAGCAAACTGATGGGCCCGCCATCCAAGGGGTCCATCGGATGGCCCATGCTGTCAGGGCCACCCAATGGATATAGATTGTAAGGGGGCCCGGTCAGCGCGACCAGGCCCCCTGTGATTACATCACACCAAGCTGGGAGGAAGTGACCACACGTCACTCCTCCCAGCTAACACTGAGAGCCGCGTGGGAGGAAGACCAGGGAGTCAGAGTGGGAACTCTGACTCCCATCCACCTGAGCCACCACTGGACCCCAGTCACCCTCCTGCACCTAAAAGGTAAGAAACAGGAGGGTGACTTAAATATTATGTGTGTGTTTGTATGTATGTGTGTGTCTGTCTGTATGTATGTGTGTGTCTGCCAGTATGTATGTGTGCCTGTTTGTATGTATGTCTTTGTATGTATGTGTGTTTGTCTATGTGTCTGTATGTGTCTGTCTGTATGTGTATGTATGTGTGTGTGATTGCCTGTCTGTATGTATGTGTCTTTGTATGTATGTGTCTGTCTCTCTGTGTGTCTGTCTGTCTACCTGTATATGTGTGTGTCTGTCTACGTGTGTGTGTGTGTGTGTGTCAGTCTGTATGTGTGTGTCTGTGTGTGTACCTGTCGGTGTCTGTGTTTGTGTCTGTCTGTGTGTGTGTGTGTGTGTTGGTCTGTATGTATATATGTGTGCCTGTCTGTATGTATGTGTGTGTGTCGGTGTGTATGTGTCTATGTGTGTATGTGTCTCTATGTATGTGTGTGTGTGTGTGTCGGGGGGGGAATAGGGAGGAGGGGGGCCCATGTATCAGTTTCACACCAGGGCCCCATGGATTGTGTGTACGCCACTGCGAACCAGTGTTTATAATGCTCAAATGACACCTGCTAGTCTCTCCAGTCTTCACTACATTATCATACCTATCAAACGTACAGTAGGAACCTGCGCTTCCCACCCTTTTACCAGGCTTAATGCTGGCACATGCTTTCCATAGCACGTGGAAATCATTAAATATAATTTAAAAAAAATAAAATAAAAAATAGTGCTCTCTGTTTGAAGTGTAAATAAAGCTTAAAATTTCAATGTAGTGTACTTACATTTAAAGGAGCCAACACATGCTCTGCAGTAACAGTGTGGGTGGTACAATCCTCACCTGTTTTATTTAATTACACAATTGGATTTTATATTTTATGTCACGCAAGTGGGAGCAATCTGCACAGAAAGGCAGCACCTGTGTTACCCACAGGTTTCCTACAAACAATCTGATGCAGGTGAGACACCATCAGAAAATCATCTGAAATTCTCCAGGAGAGCAGGCCTCACAGTGACACAGTGAGCAGAGCAGAACATGGGAAGTCGCAGTAGAGATAGGCTTCCCGACAGTCAAAGACTCACCAATAAAAGTGTTGACTTGTAAATCAACATCCATGTGTCCAGTGGCGGATCCAGAGCCTGATCTCGGGAGGGGCACTTGTAGATTATTTAAAGAAATAATCCAGACACAATAACAACTACAGCTCAGTGTAGTGGTTATGGTGTCAATAGTGCCGGGACCCCCTCCCAGAGTAAGTAGTCAAACCATTTAAGAACAGTTTGACAACTTACCTGAGGTCTTCTGGGAAATGGGGCAGTAGTAGGGCATAGGAGCAGTGGTGTGTGTGAGTGGTGCAGTGTGTGTGTGTGTGAGGGGGACAGTGTGTGCGCAGTGTGTGTGTGTGAGGGCAGCAGTGTATGTGTGGGACAGTATGTGTGTGTAACAGTTGCAGTGTGTGTGTGAGTATTGCAGTGTATGTGTGTGTATGGGGCAGCAGTGTATGGGGGCAGTGTGTGTGTATCGGGTAGTGTATGTGTGTAGAGTGTGTGTAGGGGGGCAGTGTGTGTGCAGGGGGGGCAGTGTATGTGTGTAGAGTGTGTGTATGGGGGACAGTGTGTGTATCGGGTAGTGTATGTGTGTAGAGTGTGTGTATGGGGGGCAGTGTGGGTGTATGGGGGGACAGTATAGGGGCAATGTGTGTGTATGGGGGTGTGCGTAATAAAGGCATGGGAGCAAATGTATGGGGGGTGGTATGGGTGTATGGGGGCAGTATGGGTGTATAAAGGGTATGGGTGTATGGGGGGGGCAGTATGGAGGGCAAATGTGTTTGCATGGGGGGGCAGTATGTGTGTGTAGAGGTGGCTGGGGGCAGAGTGCGTGTATGGGGGGCAGAGTGTGTATGGGGCAGAGTGCATGGGGGGGCAGTGTGTGCGTAATGGGGGGCAGTGTGTGTATGGGGGGGCAGTGGGCGTAGGGGGCAGTGGTGTATGGGTGGCATTATGGGTGTACAGTAAGGAAGTAAATGTGTGTGTATGGGGGGCAGTATAGGTGTATGGGGGTACTATGGGTGCATGGGGACAATATAAGTGCATGGGGGACAGTATGGGGGAAGTAATGTGTGTGTATGGGGGGACAGGCATGGGGCAAATGTGTGTGTATGGGGAGGCAGTATATGTGTATGGGGCAATGTGCATGTAAAGGTATGGGGCAAATGTGTGTGTATAAAGAGGCAGTATATGTGGCATGGGGCAAATGTGTGTGTATTAAAGGTGCATGGGTGTACAAGCAAATGTGTGTATGGGGGGCATGGGTAAAGGGCTAAAGGCATGGGGGCAAATGTGCATGGGGGAGCACAGCATGTGGGTGCATGGGGGCAGCATGGGGGGGCAAATGTGCATGGGGGGAGCAGCATGGGTGCATAAGCAGCATGGGGCAAATGTGTGTAATGGGGAGCAGCATGGGCATGAAGGCATGGGGGCAAATGTGTGTATGGGGCAGCATGGTGCATGGGGGCAGCATGGGGGGCAATGTGTGTATGGGGGCAGTATGGGGGCAAATGTGTGTATGGGTGGGCAGTATGGTGTATGGGGACAGTATGGGGGGCAGCATGGGTGCATGGGGGGGGCAATGTATGGGGGGGGGGGCAGCATGGGTGTATAAAGGGTGCATGGGGCAATGCATGGGGCAGTATGGGTGTATGGGGGCAGTATGGGGGGCAATGTGTGTATGGGGGGACAGTATGGGTGTATGGGGGCAGTATGGGGGGCAATGTGTGTATGGGGGGGCAGTGTGTGTATGGGGGGACAGTATGGGTGTATGGGGGCAGTATGGGGGGCAATGTGTGTATGGGGGGGCAGTATGGGGGGGGCAGTATGGGGATCAGTGTGTGTGTGATAAGGGTAGGGGGCTTTTTTAAAAAATATATATTTTATTAATTTAGTTTAATATAAATAATCATTATGTCCCCCCTCCCTTCTTACCTTTACTGGGGGGAGGGGGGACATTTCCCTGGTGGTCCGGTGAGGGATTCCCTGGTGGTCCCAGTGGTGATGAGAGTGAACTCTAGCCCGCGCTCCCGGGCTAGAGTTCACTCTCGCGAGATTTGGAGCGTTGCCATGGTAACCGCGGCAACGCTCCAAATCTCACGAGAGGAGGACCTGGAGGAGCTGCAGCCTGAGCTCCGGGTCCTCCCTCTCACTCTCTCCCTCCGCCGCCGGCCGCCAGCACAGTGCCTGCGGACCGGGGAGGGAGATCTGTGATCTTCCTCCCCGGTCCGCAGGCACATTGCAGGGCTAGCGCCTGCATGTGCCGGCAGGGGAGAGGGAGACCGGCGGATTTCTCGGGGGGGGCAATTGCCCCGTTGCCCCCCCCCTGGATCCGCCACTGCCCCTGGAGTGGCGGGCCCGGTCGCAGCTGCGACCCCTGCGACCACGGTATGTACGCCGCTGACCACGGCCCTCTCTGTGTTAGTTCTGCCACTGCTGACATCGATAGATTAGATTGGCATAAAAGGATAAATTTCTACATTGAATCAATGCATCTCTATTAGGAAAATTCAGCAGCCCCATGCAGAGTGTTGGGACGCTGAATGGCAGAGCTGCTTACTGTGCAGCCCTGAGCCAGGAAGCCCCTCCAGTGGCCATCTAAAGAGTGTCTTGGAGATGTCCCTAGGAGCAATGTAAACACTGCCTGTTTACATGAAAATGCCTGAAGGGAGCTATTATACTCACCAGAACAACTACATTAAGCTGTAGTTGTTCTGTGACTATAGTGTCTCTTTAAGTCAGTGAGAGTGATGCAGTACTGCTACAAAGGATGTTTACTCATGTGTTCCTGTCAGCCATAGTAAACCTAATTAAACAGTAACTGTTCAGTAATAAAGCATGTTGTATGTAACTACTGGCCTCATGTGTAAAGCAGTCAGGACAATAACAGTTCCAAACTCCTAAGCTTTTATATTTGCATCCAGCACAAAAAGAGGGAAAGGATCGAGTGTTAACAATTCTAGTTGATTAAAAGTAAAGAATATAAAGGTGTAACGATCCGATACATAATCACAACTGAATTAATTCACAAATCACTAAAAGCCCCTAATTTGCCCTTTGCTACGGGGATAGTTTAACCTTACAGAGAAACAAATATTAGTGTTTTCACCCTCCAAAGAAACAAATGTATCTGCCAAGCCCCATTCAATTCCCATGGATCTCTTTAGACACACTGTAATGTCACATGCTTTTTGTAGCTTCGTGATTTCATTTTGTCATCCAAAGAGATGTGAGGATGAGGGCTATGAAAAAATTGAGTGTACTACAGGAATTCTTTGCAAGCTGTAATAACAACCTATAATGATCTATATATTCCATGACATAAATGTTTTAATACATTTAATGATAATTTTTGTTTCGAATTAAAAGTGCTGCTTTGTAGTGAGGTGGCTAATATCTGCCCTTTTTACAACAAAATTTGGCTTGGCTTAGAGTTTATTTATGATGATCTAATCCTTTTTGTTGTATAGATCAATTTTAGGTCAGACGTTATTGACATATGGTATTTGTTCAATTTCATGTTTATTGTGGTTATTAAGTGGTAACATAAAAAATACTAAAGAAAGCTCAATATCTTTTTTTGCTATTTATATTTCAATAGTGTATCCAGTAGACAGCAATATTCATTGCATCTGTATGTATCTGTCCAGGAAGATTTCTGATTGACCCCTATTGATATATCTTTTCCCAGTTATTTGTCAAAAGATTAGGGTCCTGCTTCCGTTGCCCAGCAGATTGTATCATAATTTAAATGATATTCATTGTTGAAGGATGTTATGTTGTTTCAACCTTGTGCTCACTTTTAAATTTGCAATTTCTTATTAATCCTACATCTTTTCAGTTTTAAGAATAAGACCGGTATTGGTCATCAGTCACCTGGAGTCTAATCTGCCTGGGCCATCATACACTGCTAATTTAAAGGTAAATGAGACAATCCAAGACAGACCCAAGCATGACAGGCGCATCATCGCCATATGGGCTGGTGGAATAAAATACCCCATCTTATCATCTGACCCAATAAAACACGCACACCAATCTTATATGGGTTAAGTCCACAGCTTTATTAAATATATTAATAAATTATAACGTAACATGAGAACATAAATAATAAAAGCCATTGCCCCGCGCCCCACCTATAACATAACATAACATATCCCTCTGTCATACAAAAGGCAATGACCCATATTTTCAACAATAAACACAAAATTTTAACAACGTAATAACCATAATACATAAAGTGCCAATTTTTTGATAACCATCGTAGGGGTATACCTGGATACCCCTACCCCACCAGGTTCTGAGCTACCGACGAGCTCAAAACCTACCAAACTTAAACATGAACAATATCAATCCCTTCCTAACCAACATAATAACTCCTCTGTACTTAACCAAGGCCTGTTTTCCCCCTAAACTTTAGCTCACTAACTCCATCACAAGCTCAGACCTTGATCCCTTTAGCTGTCTGAGCTCTGCCATCCCAAAGAAACAAGGCTCTACCCAGCCCCTCCTGAAAGCCCAGGTTTAACATGTCCCAACCCACATCAGAGAAGTGAACACCATCAGAGCGAAAATAACCAGCCAGCATAGCCTCCAGCTCCAGGTGCCTTATCACTACCGTGCAATCGCACCAAGGTCCCTCATGTGCTGCCACCATAACTGGGGAACCATTTCCTACCACACCACCATGACCCCGGGGACTGAGTCCCTGAGCCAATTAACATCCTGCTTCATCCATTTTACAAGCTGCCGCTGGGAACCTAGCCGCATATCATTACCCCCAGCATGCATGACCACGAAGTCTGGCCTCCATCCCCCCCCATCAAACGAAACAAAGTCCCACATACGTCCCACCAACTGGCTCCTTGGTAACCGAAGCATTGTATCATCATCTGGTCCACAGGAAAGCCCAGCTGTTGACCCTGAACACGAGTTGCAGCCCTCCTCTGCGCCTAGAATACGAACGAATGGCCTAAGATCTAGGTCACACGACCTATGGAGATAAGGGGACAAAATCAATCAAATGGAGGTCACACCTTGCAACCCTTCACTACCTCCCACCAGTTGCCCCAGGTGCATGTAGGATCGGGACCAAACTGATTCCCATCACACTATCTTCCTCACCCAGCCCCAACCTTGTGGCCTCACCCAGCCCCAACCTTGCCGCCCCGATGAGGAAGGAGTAGGTCCCAAGTTGGCCAGGTTGCAACCCCAGCCGCCCCAGCCCTACCCGAAAAACCTTGAAGAACTGAACTGAGAGTGAGGAACCATCCCCAGGAACCACCAAAAACAAACCCAACCCCGGAGGCCGATGTGCCAGATACCGTGATGACGTGGTAACCGGACATAACGATGACCCCGGGAGGGTGTGCAGCACTAC